AGGAGGAGTTTCAAGAGGAGGAGGGAGAATGAAAACATGATGGGTGAAGTTTCAAGGAAGAAAATGGGACTGGACTATAAGTAGCCCTTTTGAGGAATTTTACCATTTAGGGGAACAGAGCAATGAGATGGGAGCTTAGAGTATAAGTGAGATCTAAAGAGAACATTGGAAGGTGGGAGAAGTAGTATAGTATTAAAAAAAAAAAAAAAAAAAAAAACAGGATCTACTCTATTTTCAGGGAAGGAAATATATCTCTCTCCTCCTTAGGAGTTGGGGGGAGCTACGGGCTACATACAATGACTGCCTTCCAAAGAGTACAACATGGAGAGAGGAGGACAGAGTCATTTTAGAGTGACGATACCTGACAGACATCCTCAGCTCTGGTTAACAGTGATAACTCATATATACAGTACATATCTGTGATTAAAATGGTGCTTTACCTCTATGGTCTTCACCCCAAAATCCATAACCTGTCTACTAATGAGAAAAGCATCAGACAAATCCCAGCTGAAATACACCCAGTACTCCTCAAAGCTGTCAAGGTCATCCAAAACAAGGAAAGTCTCAGAAATCATCACAGTCAAGAGGAGGTGAAGGATAAAACTAAATGTAATATGGCAACCTAGAAGGAATCCTGGAACAAAGAAAGCACATGAGGTAAAAAATAAGGAAGCACAGATAAAATGTGAACTTTAATTAATAATGTGTCAATATTGTAACAAAGATACTATACTAATATAAGATGTTAATAATAGGAGAAACTGGGTATAGAGTATATGGGAAGGATATAGAGTAGATATAGGAGCTCTTTATACCAACTTCTAAATTTTTTCTGTACATTTAAAACTATTCTAAAAATAAGGATCATTTAAAAATTTAAAAAGGAGGAGGAGGAGGAGGAAGAGGAGGAGGAAGAGGAGGAGGAGGAGGAGGGGACCTAAAGTCCAACCATTTGATTAGAATCCTAGTCTGGCATTTAGTAGACTGTGACTTAAGGTGAGTTACTTAAATTCTCTAATAATCAATTTTCCAATCAATAAAATTAAAACAGGGAAAGAATCTATCTCAGAGAATTTTGTGATAAGTAAATAGATAATCCATGTCAAATGCTTAGGATAGTGTCTGTCAAATAATAAGCACTTCATAGAGGACAGCTATTGTTATTACTGCCATTATTTGAAAATTTTATTCAATGTTCAATATTCTAAGATGATTTTACATTTTAATTGTTTTAAAGTAATTAATAATAACTTATACAGTTTTCTTTCCTTTTTGAAGAAGATAATTGAATATCACCCTGTATATAGAATCTAAAAAATGACATCTCCTTTAATCATAAGAGCTACAAGGTTTTATAGTGTGAGCTGCTCCAATTTAAGCTAAATATCTGTGTAAGGTCATGTAATAATAGGAGTTGTTACTGTAATGCCAGATTCATGGGACCCCAATAGACCTCCAAGAGCCGAATTGGATGCAATCATACAGGAGTCTTTATTGCAAGCTCAAGCCTGGACTCACAACCGTTCCCAACACTGTGGTCCCAGGGAGTGAGTCCCAGTCCTTTGTTCAGTGAGGATTTATAGGTTTTTTGGGGATACTCTCTGCGTCACAACAACACACAGCAAATCATTCCACACCTCAGGAAAAGCAAACAACTCTTAACATTGATTAGCACACTCACTGGCGGGAACAAGTTGGGTAGGGGTGATTGGTTAGTACAAGAGGGGGGGTTCCTTTGAACTGACTGGTTAAAGCCATGAGGGGTGTACGTGCTAAACCACCTAGCCTAACTGAGTCAGGGACATCTGGCACCGCAGATCTCTCCTGTTATTTGTAGACAAACAACTCAGTAGGGTGGGTATGTGCCTAGGAGCTCTCTGTGGGTTTTTCCAAGGACAAGGGTCACACCCCCTTCCTTGGACAGGCTTTGCTCTGAGGTAGAGGCTGGTTTCTCAAAAATGGAGTCACATCAGTTTCTCATCACCAGAGGTTCTGTATATCTATTATGAAGTCTATGAAGTAAATAACATTTTCTAATTAGGGCTCTTGCTCCTATCATAAAGCCATAAAGTCATTAACATCAACCTGGTATCATATCAGGATCACACTATTTTTAATAACAACAATTGACAAAATGATGTGAAGAGTCATGTGTAGAATATTCTTAAAGGTAAAAAGAATTAAGTGAAGTAGAAGAGAATTTGGCCTCACCCATGGTTCCCAAGCCAGGCCAAGCATCAGATTCCTACTCACTTGGCATGCAACAAAAGATGCTGGAACTCTGCCCAGACTTACTGAATTAGCTGCTCCAAGAGTGGGTGGGGCAATTTTCTATTTGAAAGCTGATAGGGGTGATTCCAGCGTGTCAGCCACTGGCCTACCTTATCCTGCATCATAATATGGGGGCTGCAAGGATCGATGTCTGAGCCATCTCTGTCAATGTAGCCTGATGTTCACATCACAAGAATCCTGATCAGCTTGAGAGAGTTTCACCTATTATTATTACAGTTATTGTTTTCCATTTAAAATTGAGGTCCCTCTGTACCTTCAGAATTTCACCTGGCCTAAGCATAAAAGTGCAGTGTGTGTGTGTGTGTGTGTGTGTGTGCGCGCGAGCGTGCACGCGCTCACCCTGAGGATGGAAACTGGGGCCTCTTCTGTGCTGAGCATGCATTCTGCCATTGAGCTACACCCACTACCCCCAGCACAGCCTTTTGGTTCAGTATTTTCTATCATTGTTCCTTCCCCTCCTAAAGGTCAAGTTTTCCATTCCTGCATCCCACTGCCACTTTCTTCCTTCACTGTGTCAACAGGCAAACAGCACATTTAACTCAGTTACCCCGAACACCCTGAACTGGGCATCCTTCCGTAGTGCTGAGTTAACAGTTTGTGAAGCAGTTGGTCAGTTTCCAGCTACAAGATTCAGGCAGTTAATATGCATAACTCCCTGACAGTGAATTATAGCTGGAATATCAAAGAGCAAATATTTTAGATCCCTCCCCTAGAGAATCAAAGGGACAATGACCAGACTATATGTAAAGATAAAACTCTGGCCTATAACGAGTATCAACTCAAGCTCAAGAAGCTAGCCTTCTAGCTACAGTAACCAGTCCAAGACTACTATCTGTAGCAATGAGTCTAGGGAGCCAAACAACTAGCAATTGGCCTCAAACTGCCAGGACTTGATCAATATCTAAAAACTTGCTTAATTTCTGCTCCTACTTTCAGCTTAAGACCAACTAGAGAAAGCCAAATATGCACACCCAAACAATCAGAGAGGATGCTGGCTCACCTGGAATTAGCCAGTCTGCAGTCAGACACACCTGAAAACTTCCCACTCTTCTGCTTGCCTTTTGTCAAATGTAATAGCAATGGTGGCTGTTTCGCTTGCTCTGAAGAGATAGCCTTTCTTCTCCTAACTTGAATCATCTTCATTTATTGCCACAACTAGGAAAACTTGGCTGTATATTTAAATAGCTCACAGAATTTTTTTTTTCTTTTTGAAGCCAGAAATGCTATGGTTTAGGGAGGTTGTGAGGTGCAGCAGAAAAAAGAGGACACAGAGGGGAAGTATAGAGTTGCTGTGGTTAAGGGTGCAAACCTTGCATCTACTGTCATGGCTCAAGTCCAAGCTCTGCCACTCACAGCTGTGTGAACTTGGGCAAGTTACAGAACCAATTTATACTCCAGTGTCCTTACCTGTTAAAACACTGGTGGTGGTGATAGCATCAAACTTTCAGGGCAACTGGAGAGGGTATATAAGACACCTATTTAAAGCAAGAATATCTAGATTTCAGTGTTGTGGAATAGAAAGATCTCCAGCAAATTAAGCTGCACTTGCTGGAAAGCAGCAATGCCCAGGGACTGAATGCTGATTGCCCCTTTTTAATGGGACTTAGGTTTTCATATTTTCACTGTCTCCATCAACCTGCTTCATTCATTTATGATATCTACCTGGCCCTATTCACTACTTGTGCACTGAACTAAAACATGTTTCCTGCACAAATTCAATGACTCTAGGAAATCTATAGGTACAAATATATATGTCCTATCTCAAAAACATCTCAGACATATTTGGTGGAGAAGAGCTCTTGTCTCTCAAATGCACGCTGAAAATCTATGCTTTCCATAAATCAGAGTCAAGTGCCCTTTCTGAGATGTTTTACTGAAGAGCCATAATTCAAGATTATAGAGCTTAAAATATACAAATTATTTTTATATAACTTGAAGTCCAGTGCTATAGTTTCAGAAAACGTACACATTTTGTTTATCCAAAACCAAGAAAACTTCCTCTTCATAGGTTTTCTGCTATTCTTGGTAAGAAAAATTACTATTTCAGACAATGAAAGCTGTTTTGACATAATCACATTTAGCATGAGCTATCAAATCTAATCCAAAACACTGTACAAAACAAAGATTTTTGTCTGAAATTATTTCTGATGATTACACTCAACACTTCCAAAAGGCAGTTGGTCAACTTTCCAATCTGCATAAAATGGAGTTTTGAAACCAATTTTTCTAAATAGTCATTCTTCAGAATAAACTTTCATTCCACTAGGTTGTTAAATAAGCAAGATATGTTTAAGGGCTAAGATAGTAAAGTACAGTCTAATTAACTTTAGCGTTTCATTTGTAAGTAAGTTGGGGACTCAGAAGCGCACTGTAAACATCAAAGGATAAACATGTTAAAGTTCTCAAAATGATTTACTATGAAAATTCTATTCCGGATTGATTCCGCAATGACAGACATCATACATAAGTTCTTATTTGAAGACCACGAACCAAAAGGCAGGAATAGTTCGATGCTGTCCTGAGGTATCTTTCCCAAGTTCACTTGATTATGCCGCAAAGACTTCCCAAGTTTCTTTGGACGGGAAGGAAAGCGAGCGAGCGTGAGGGTCTCGGGAAGCCTGTGCCCGAGATGGGGCGGTGCGGGTGGAAAGCTCCGGGCCGCGCAGCTGGGCTCCCCGCCGCCCCGCCCCGCTCCGCCCCGCACTCACCCAGGCCGCGCCAGCCCAGCGCGCCATCGCAGCTGTCCAGGACCGCGCACAGCTGGCCCAGCAGCGCGGGCGGCAGGTCGAACAGGAGTGTGTGCGCCGAGAGCGCGCCGCAGGCCCCGCAGCTCCCCGCCATGGCGCTGCTGCTGGAGGCACAGCGGGGTGCAGAACCCCGGCCTCTCGGTAGCACCTCGCCCCGTTACACAACCGCGGAAATCTTGCTTCCACGACCGCAGCCCAGACCTCGGAACATACAGTGCCCTGGCGCCACAAGGGGCGGTCCTCACGTGACGCAAAGTGCCGCTCCCTAGAGTGCCCCTAAGGACCTCGGGCCTGGCAATGAGGTTTCCCTGCCTCTGGCTCTTGTTTGGCTTCCTGTTTTGAAGGGTTCTTTTGTTCCGCTTGGTGGAGTGTGACCCAAGAGAACAACCAAAGAGAAAGATCAGGATTTCAGGACTTAGGAACTTGTGCGCCCACCATCCCTTCTGCCCGTCCTGGGATGGGCTGTCTTCTGGCCTGGATAATTATGAGTTCTGTCTTCATGTCTTTTTTTGTGGGGGAGCGGGTGGAATAACTGGGGATTTAACCTTGGAGCGCTTTATCCCTGAGCTACATCCTTCAGCCCTTTAAATTTTGAGACAGGATTGCACTAAGTTGCTTAAGGCCTCGCTAAATTGCTGAGGCTGGCTTTGAACTTGTGATCCTCCTGCTTCAGCCTCCCGAGCTGCTGGGATTATAGGCGTCCGCCAACACGTAGGGCTGTCTTGAGGTCTATTAAAAGTTTATATCTTGTTGTTCTGTCAGAAGAGATATGTGTTCATTAGGAACACTTAGAAACCCCAGAAAAATTAAAAGAAGAAAATAATCACTTGTGACCCCACTCAACTGAAGACAGCCCCTGTCAAGTTTTGGGCATATTTTCCTCCCAACTCTTAATCAAATTTAAACAGATGGAAAAAAAAAAAAAGTGCATTCGTGGAGTGATTGCTGGGAAAGATGGGCATAGAGGTCAACAATAGAAAAACTAGAGGCACCAAGCAAATCAGAGTAAAGTGTTTCAGAAGGCAGCCCCTCCTCTATACTATGATTTAGTTTTAGTACATTTTCTTCGCCTTAGACTTTCCTGATAAAACTTTGACCATCTTTTCCTTTCTCAAAGTGCTTCACCAAATGTTTCTTTTACTTCATCATGGAATTTAAGAAAAATAGCTGTTTTAAAATCTTCAATCGTTTATACCATCATACCCTGCCATAGGCATGATACAAGTGCACTGACCAAAAAAAAGAGAGAGAAATGCTTCAAAAATGGTGAGAAAAATCTCAACTTTAAAGACTGGAAGAGGAGATGGCCCAGTTAGCACTAGCAGTTAGCACCCCTACCTGAAGTTCCAAAAAAGTAGTATTCCATAAAAACATACTTGAAAATTGAGAAAATCTGTGCTGTTTGGCAGGAGTTTCCATATCCCTTCATTCAAATGACTAAGGTTTTATTGTCAAAGTGTAAATGCCTTTGAAATTCCATCTCTTAAAGGGGCTACGGAATATGTTGAGCATCAGAGACAAAAAACAATTAAGTACTGTATTTAGAAAGTCTTAAATTTCTAGAACAGGAGAGGCAAACTCAAATATGCAGAGAAACCAGGAAGTCAATGAAGGCGAGTATGTTCATTAGCTTCCTGTCACTGTGACAAAATACCTGACTTGACCAACTTAAAAGGAGGAAACTTTTATTTGGGGGTTTCAGTTCATGGTCCTTTGGCCTCCATTACTTTGGGGTCTATAACAAGGAGGTACCTCCTGGTGGGAGTGTGTGGTAGGGAAGGTTGCTTTCCTCAAGGTAGCTGGGAAGCCAAAAGGGGAAAGAGCATGCCCCGCATGTCTTCACTTCCCTCCACTAGGCCCTAGTTCCTAAAGGATCCACCGTTGCCCTGTAGCACCAGATGCTGGTGAGCAAACCTTTATCATGTGAACCTTTATGGAACATTGAAGAGCCAAACCATAACAGTGAGGGAAACACTCAGAAATGCCTGCTTTGCTAATTCACCAAGAAGCAAGGATTTTAAGTGCAAGCTAGGTTATGTAAAATCTGCATTTCCAGTACTGGGTTATTAGACCATGTTCCCTCCCTATCCTAAAATTGTCTTTGAGTTTTCAACTTTATGTCATCAGTTTCAGCACTCACTAATCTTCCCTGTTGCTGTCCCCCAAGGGTTCTCTCCCAACCTGATTCCTCTTCCTCATTTTTGGACTCTAGTTCCTGACTTACTGTCACTCTCTCCAATACTAATCCTATATTACTTCTAGGGGATTTAACATCTATGTAGTATAGATGATGAACTTTTCACTACCCTAGCTTCTCAGTTCCTTGATTCCTCTCCTCCAGTGACCTTGAGCTCCACTCTACTCTCTGTTTCAGCCACTCATGTCAATGATTACTCCCAGTCTTGTCATTATCATTAACTTTACGCTATCCCTAACTTCTGTTTCATGATTCTGCTCTCTCACCACACCTCCTATTCTTCTAAATCATTCCCTCTAGTGCTCTGACTTAAAAAACCCTTCCCTTTACCAGGATATTGAATCTAAAATCATGTTGCCTCTTTTCTGCCCCCACCCTCTTGACGTCTTTTCTCTTTATCCATAAAGTCCACAGTCAATTATTATAATCACTTCCTTATGAATGACCTCTGTTGCCTGGTTCATCTCTCACTTTGCTGAACTCTCCTGGCAAATCTACCATCTTTTTATTATTATTATTATTTTAGTTTTTAGTTTTCGGCGGACACAACATCTTTGTATGTGGTGTTGAGGATTGAATCTGGGCCGCACGCATGCCAGGCGAGCTCGCTACCGCTTGAGCCACATCCCCAGCCCCCTACCATCTTGATTACATCTAACTTTCCAAGTTTTGGCTCTGCATCCATGTACTGTGCTGTAGCTATAAAAGACAAAAACAATTTTTAAAAATCCACTAATCCTGCTATTTTGAACTCATTTTTAAATCTGTTATGACTCTTTTTATGCTGCCAAGGATTAATACTATGCATCTTTATTCCATTTATTCTTCTAGTGTCTGTGAAAATTATATTATGCTTTCTCTTCTCTCCTCAATCCCCATAACCTTCCCCCATCCTCATGCTCAGTTGATGACCTTGAGAATGTTTACTGAGAATACTGATGCATCATGGGGGGGTGGGGAACTTTTGCAGAATCTCCCTACCACATTCACCTATCTACTAACATATGTACTAACATACAGTTTTCCTCTTTTCCTATAGATGGTATGTCTAGGCTCCCATCTAAGTCTAATTCTTTTACTTGTAAACTCAGTCCTATTCCTGTCCCTGAATCAAAGGCACCAAAGGCAGCTATTTTCCTTATCTCTACTATTCAGTTCCAATACAATACAAATATGATATCATTTCTTTCACCTAAAAAAACTAAATTATTTGGTGCCACTTCTTCCTTCCATTCACCACACCATTTTTTTTTTTTTTTTGCACTTTTTGGTGGTGCTGGGGACCAAACCCAGGGCTTCGCACATTCCAGGCAAATGCTCTACCACTGAGCCACATTTTTTAGCCCCTTTGCTTCCTTTTAGGGTAGAGTTGGATGTTCTCATTATATTCAAATTTTCTCCTCCTATGGTCTCTTAAACCTACTCTCCATTGAAAGTGCTATCTTTCAGGTTAAGCCATGTCCTCCAAAATGTAACCAAAATACTATAGGATTTTCAGTCCTCATCTTACCTAATCTGTCATAGTTTTTTTTTTTTTTTCTGATATTGGGGATTGAACCCAGGGACACTTTACCACTGAGCCACATCTCCAACCCTTTTTTTTTTTTTTTTTTGAAACAGGGTCTCATTAAGTTTCCTAGGGCATTGAGCATGCAATCCTCCTGCCTCAGCCTCCAGAGCCACTGGGATTCCAGGCATGCACCACCATGCCATCCTGTCAGTAGTTTTTGACACACTTGATCCCCCCTCCTTCTTGGACACTTTCTTCATCTGACTTCCAGGATATCACATTCTCTCACGTTTTCCACTTACCTCCCACTGCATATTCCTCTTCTGTTCCTCCTCTTCCTCCTGAACTGTTAAAGTGGAAATGTCATGCAGCTCAACCTCTGGTTCTATACTGACTCCCTTGGTGATCTCAATCAGTTTCAAGGTTTTAAGTACCATCTGTGTACCAAAGACAAGTTTATGTGTCTATCCCAGACTTCTCTTTTGAACTCCAGAGACAAGAGCAAAATCAACGCTTGATCCTGTTTCCTGAACCTGTTCTTCCCATATTCTTCCTGTCTAGGTTAGCACAACTCCATCTTTCTAGTTCCAAACTAGAGTCATCCTTGACTCCTCAATTTCCTTACAGTGCATATTTAATTTGCAAGCAAATACTGTTTATTCAGAAAATATCTAGAATCTGACCATTTTCCTGACTCTGCTTCTCCCCGTTTGAGCCACCTTCCTATCTTGTCTGGATTATTATTGTAGTCTCCAAGAGCAGCTTCCATACAGCCTTTCTTCCATATTGCAGTGGATCGACCCTTTTAAATCTTGACTAATAATGTCATTCTTCTGTTGAGAAGTCTGCAGTGACTCCTAACGTCAGTCAATAAAAGTTTGACTCTTTCGGTGAACTGCATTCTACCTCCCCTTCCCATTCCGCTTCTTTGCCCTTTACCCCGTGAACTTGTTTCTTTCTCTGCCTTAGCTACTTTCTCCCTGCTGGCCCTGAGCAGAACCAGGAAAGTCCCACATCAAAGCTTTTATACTTGCTATTTGCTTACCAGTATATTTTTTCAACATAGCTAAGGTCTACTGTGACTTCAAATTTAAGCTTACTTAGATCCATATGCTCAGATTTGGGCTAAGTTATGACTTAATTGGTTCAATACATTTATAGCTTGGGGAAATTCTATCAGACCTCTCTTACTCTCTAACTCTATCTGAACAGGAACATATAGCAACTCTGGTCATTTCTGGGAGCCATTTTTGCAATCACATAGAGGTCAATATTAGAATGAAATGAGCCCTGGGAATGATCTAATAAGAGGAAAAACTGGGTCCTTGATAAGGTCATTGATCAGTTCATTTGTTCTGTGTCTGAATCCTATCTTGCTTATGGACTTATACAAGCTAAATACCCTTCTTAAAACAGTTTTTAAGGGGCTGGAGTTGTAGCTCAGTGGCAGAGCACTTGCCTCGAACATGTGAGGCACTGGGTTCGATCCTCAGCACCATATAAAAATAAATAAACAAAATAAAGATATTGTGTCCATCTATAACTAAAAATAAACAAAAATAAATAGTTTTTAAGCTAGGAATCTTACTTGCAACAAACTACATCCT